CTATGAAGGATGTTGATCAATAAAGTGTAGTCCTGAAGGAAGTCATCTGCTTGAAGCCGGCTGCCATTTCTAATTCCAAATTCTGACAGCTTTTTGTGATTATTAGCTTCTGTCTCTCCCTCTTCTGAAGATACTAGGATTGTTCCTTTCCCATCTTCAATTTGGACATCTGGTGCTACCATAGCAAATTTTTCTTTCACTATCTTACCCTGTAATGTGAGAACAGTCACTCTGTGGACATTCAGCCGGACAGTCACCTCTGGCTTGCTGGCACATACGTAACAATTAGGGTTAGGACGATCCAGTGCACAAGGCACAAGAAGCTTCTTTCTTGGGTTTGGTTGTTTATTCAAAAAAATTTTTCTACACTGGTCTATTTTTCCTGATAAAATCTTCAATCCTTCCAATACTATTAACCCAGCAATCCCTGCATTAGTAGTAGCGATAGCAGGAATAATGTTCCCTGCCATTGATTTTATATCAAATCTGCTCTTCATATTCATACTGAAAATAGGCATCCTGAGGTTCGCAGCAGAGGTGACAAAATCCACTGCAGATGGGTCATCCTTGTCCCATATGAGCTCAGCTCCATCCCCTTTTTCTGCTAAATGAACTCTCAAAGTCTCAATGCTCTTTGAAAAAAGACATGCATAGCTCTTTACATCTAGAACTTGCTGGTCTTTCAGACCTAACTGCGGTTCATTTTGTTGATCTGATGCGTTGGTTTCTTCTCCTTGACTTTGTACTTCAGCCCAGTCCAACGGAACCGGAGGTTTCCTTTTCCGCCACAGTTTGTCCATTGTCAACAGATACCGGATATCATCTTTAAAAAGCTTCGTAAAAAGTTTAACTGGATCATATCCAGTTGATTTAGCCTATTCCTTAGTGGAAATACGTTTAATGTCACCATCTTCGTTAGATGCTCTGGCTCTGGCTTCAGCTTCCATTGGTTCCCAGGAAGCTTCAGGGTCAGCTCTGTCAGGGGATACTTCTTGATCAGCATCTTCTTCCCCAAACAACTGGTTGAACAAATACTTTGCCCAAACGATGCAATGAATAGGTTCAGAAGGGGTGTTACGAATTGTACAGCCAGGGAAAGTTCTCTGGGTAGGTTTGGGATGACATTCATAACACTCAGTTACACCCTTTTTGATGGTAGTTACTTGCCCAAGGTAACCAGCAGTTCCACTCTCAATAAGAGGAACATCAGCTGCCAGACACATCCTATTTACATGGTTGCGGGCAGCTCTGTTATCTAAAGCATTCAAAACCAATATAAATTGTCGAAAAAATTCCACATTATAGTCAGGGTTCATGATGCTGTCATGGTAGGCTATGATATTAGCTTTTGGGTAAAACTGCAGTACACTTTCTTTGGCAACCTGGGCCTTTGATCTTGCAACATGTTTCTTTTGAAACAAAAACTGCCTGTTGAGGTTGCTGACATCGATAGCATCCAGATCAATCAGGTCGATGTGGGAGAAGCCGGTGAGCACAAGGTTCTTGAGGAGCTCTCAGCCGATGACACCCAGCGGCACCCACCACCAGCACCCGGCCCCCGGCCACGGCCTCGGCCAGCTCCCGGGGCAGTCCCCGCGACAGTGCCATGGCGGGACGACCACGAGCCGCGGCGGAGGCGGAGGCGCCGAGTGTTAACAATTCTTAATGAGATGTTACATTTTCGAAGTCTTTGCAAAATGACATGCACTGTGATATGCAATGTGTTTTTGCGCTCACAGCACAGTCCAGTTTGGACCAGCCACATTTCACATGCTCAGTAGCCGGGTATAGCCAGTGGCTACCTTACTGGCCAACACTGCTCTGAGCAATACTTGGAAGATGTCAGGTTAACACATGTGCATTATTGGCAAATCAGTTATTATTAAACACAGTAGCCACGTCGCCCTTAGAGATCAAGTAGTTTTAGTTACCCTTGAAGTACCCCCCGCCTTTTTTAAGACTTAGAGAGAGAGCATGAGCAGGGGGAGGGGCAGAAGAAGAGAGAGAATCTCCAGCAGACTCCCCCCTGAACTCAGAGCCCACCAAAGGACTAGATCCCGCAACCCCAAGATCATGACCCCGGAATGGACTGAGCCACCCAGGTGTACCTCCCCCGCTCCTTTTTTAAGCAGGAGAGAAAACCATTAAAACTCCTGTGTTTCAAACTGCACTTCTCCATTTTGTTTAGTTCTATAGTTGTCTGTAGAAATAGCTTACAGGTACTGTCATTTTAAGGTGGATTGTCTCTTATTTGCTACTCACTTTAATGTTTGACTTCGCTTGTCCAAACGTTACCATTCAGCAAGTGTTTAGGATGCACTGAATGGCTGTTGGCACCGTGCTGAATGTTCTCTTCCATTAACTCTTCGGTACTCACGAAACTTCCATGGGCAGTGGTCATATTATCCCCACTCTCCAAATGAGGAAGTTAAGACAGAGTGCCCAGATCCCGGGCCTGAGATCACACGTCTAGGAAGTGGAAGAGTTGGGATAAGAATTGAAGAAAGGTGCCGTATAGCTTCATACCCTTATAAAACTGCGGCAGTGCTGGCTTTTCCTCAAAGCTTGTTTCTCTCAACACAGTCCAATTACTTTTATCCGTCCCGTTGTAATTCTTGGGCAGGACTTGTTACTCCCAGTAGATGGTCACATCTCCTGCTGAGTTTTCTGCTGTTGCCCTAAAATGCTAAAAGCATTGGTTTTGTTTGTTTGTTTGTTTGTTTTGGCGGTCACGGAACTGGCAGCCGAGTATACGGAGTCATAGGCCACATTTGGAATGGGTCACACCCTTTGTATCCTTTCTGTTGGGGAATGATCCCTTCGTCAGTGTTTCAGTATCGGGTTGGAGTACTGGGGCCCTTCTTTTTTCGTTGCCCAGTCTGCTTTCAGCCTGGAGGGGGCGCGAAACAGCTGGTGCAGAGTAGTGCTTGGCTGTTACCCGGCACCCCTGCGCTTCTGTGGGGAGAAGAGCTGCCTCTGGATTTCTGAAGGAAATCAGAGAAAGAAATGTATTTTGCGAATCTGACTCACTGAGCAGAATGGGCAAGATAAATGGTGGGAAAACCAAAACCAACTTTCCTATGACCTTCAGTGAAATTCTGCTTTGTGCCCTAAGAAAAATGTTAAAAATGATGTGGTCGGAGTTGGGGCCAAGAGGCCATATTGGAAGGAGAATTTCTAATTTTAAAAAGAAGCTTGCTAACCTCATCGCCACCGCTAATGGCCATATAAATATTAATAAAGCTTTAAACACCTCCCAAATTAGCTTTATTTTTAAATCAAAAGTGCAAGACATGGAAGTGGTAATTCGTGTTAGTCCGGCAGACACAAAATTAATTGAGATAAAAACAAGAAGTAGCAGGCAAACCCTTTGGGTGACAAAATGGTGAGTTCTACTAATTCGCTTCGACAGTCTCGAGTGACACGAGCTCCTGTGGTTGAACTGGGAGCGTGCCCCGCGTGTCAGCGCGCCTCGGCCGCCGTGGGCGTGGGAGGCGTGAGGTTCTGCGGCCTCCTCGCTTGCTGTCGTCCCGTGTGAGAAAGCCGCACCTCGCGCAGAGCTTCGAATTCCAGCTTCGGGCGTGCAGCCTTAGGTCGGCTGCCAGCGGGCCTGTCCGGAGGGCAGAATGAGCGTGGCCACGGCGATCACAGGCAAGCCCGGGCCACAGAAGCTCATTGGCACCTGCAGGTCTGCTAGGAGTTGCCCGGCACAGCTGAGCCACGCAGTGAAAAAGCCCTGCATGCTCTTCGTAGTTTCTAGGAAATAGCAGCCTGTCTCCCCACAGGCTCTCCGACTTGTAGCCGGTCCCTAGTGCCTCACTGCGTAAGTCAGCTGGACGTGCCAAGTGCTGCATCCTCATGATCATGCCCTGCCTTGTACGGGATTATTGTTTAGTTGTTTCTCTGTCCTAACGTCCTCTGCCTCGTGTAGGATGAAATTTCTTTTGGAAGTGATAAAGTGATTCTACTGTGAAGAGCTAAGGAAATAAGATTGCATAACTGGGAATTTAAACAGAAAAGAAGATAACAGGCAACCTTCTAGAAACTGTGGACTCCTAGAAACCACGACTGTACAAGGCCTGGATTTCTCTACCTTTAGCTACTGCTCAAATTTGTATCCTTCAGTGGCTGTTTTATATCCTTGCTATTTCTTACGGCCTTCCTGGTTAGGAACCTGGTTTTACTATTATCCCCATTTTCTTTTTCTTTTTTTCCTTATTTATTTATTTTTTTTAAAGTAAACTCTACACCCAACATGGGGCTTGAACTCATGACCCTGAAATCAAGAGTCACATGTTCTACCGACTGAGTCAGCCACTTGCCCTTATCATCCCCATTTTTTCATTCCTCGGCCCAACTTCTGTACTCCATTAACTCAAGCTTTTAGCCAGATTTTCTTCCTGTATAGAACCTGATGAGAGGGTATGCAACCTGATAAAGGTTATCGAATGTTTTTTTAAAGAATGTGTTTTCATCATTATCAAAGGTCCAGAAAGTGAGCAGAGCCAGTATTCTTCTCATGAATTGAAGTATGTTTCTTTGCTTAAAATATAAGCTTGAAAAAGAACTTTTTTAGTTACTTCCAATATTTGGTTAGAAGTAGAATATGAAATACAAGTATTAATTTTCCATGAACCTTTTTTTCACACATTAATAACTACCATCTAATTCAGTAATGCCGAAGGTGCCAAATAACTAACATGGATCCTTTAAAAAATTAACTATACAATGAGACAATAATTCTCAATAGTATGTGAGACATTACTATAAAGCCAAGTCTCCTTTAATTACCCTGCTTTTATATGCTACTTCCTACCTCACTCCCTAGAGGTGACTATTGAGACTGTCCTATATATCTTTCTAGAACCTTCTGTGTGTTTTCTCACATTTTACATTTATCCAGAGAAAATGGAATGTTTTCTGTATCTGTTTTTTCATAATTGCTGTAATGCCAGTATATTGTGGTCTTCTAACCTAGTAATGAAATAAATGAGAAGGTCACACGATTATCTAAATATAATGGGTTAAGTTCTCAGTTGAAAATTAAAGCCCATGCACTATGTTGAATGCAAAATTTGAGAAACACTGGAGGACCCACAAGATCAGTTTGAACTGAGCTTACAGCATGCCCAGGGTTATCTCTCACCTCACAGTGAGGAGATGGTATCAGAAGGGAGGGCCTGAACAAACAGGAATTAGTTCCTCTAAGTTTGTTTTATGTTTTTGTTTTAGATTTTTTTTTCTTTTTTGATTTTTAAGTACTCTCTACACCCAACATGGGGCTCCAGCTTACAACCCTGAGATCAAGAGTCACATTCTCCACCGACTGAGCTAGCCAGGTGCCCCAGTTCCTCTAAGTTTTCTAGATCTATCAGCCTTTAAGCCTGCTCCACTGTCATTTCTTAGGAAGTAGCCATGTTGTGTCATTTGGCAACTTAATGATCCCTATGTTTCCATTAGGCTGAGACAATGGTGACCTTTATTCTGTGTAAGTAAAAAGAAGCAACTACCAGTATAGATAAAGGAAGAGGAGAGGGATTGTATGAGTGGCTAGGAGATGACAGAGTTATATAATGCCTTTTCTTGAGGAGGTGGGCTTTGGACTGGGTTTAAAGAGGAATGTGTTGTGATGAACATAAAGGAGTTTTATTAAAATTATTTTTTCAAAACGTATTTAGAACCTAGTCACATCTCACCACCACCACTGCTACCACCAGCATTTCTCATGTGCAATAGTTATGGTCTCTGACCTTCTACCTGATCTCCCCCTGCCAACCCTCCCACCCCGCCACCCCCTTGCTCTTCTACCCTCTGTTTTCTCCAGTAACCTGAGGAAGCTTTCAAAGATTAAGTCACATGATAACCTCAAAACTGTCCCATGGCTCTTCATGCTAAAAGCAGCAGTACTGTATGATCTGGACTCCCCACTTCCCTGGCTTCATCTTCTAGCTTTTCCCCTTTTGCTCCATCAACTCTAGCCACACTGTCCTCCTCCTCTTCCTTGAACCTGGTAAGTAGAATCTCAGCTCACAGCTTTTGCACCTGCCATTCCCTCTGCTCAGATATCCCCATGGCTCCTTCCCCCACTTCCTTGAGGAATTTTCTCAGCTGTCACCTTTTTTTTTTTTTTTTCAGCTGTCACCTTCTTAAAGAAGCCTTCCCTGATGCCTCTGCCCTCAATCACTCTTTACTCTTTTATCATTTTATTTTTTTCTTCATAGCACCTTCTCACACATTACATAATCATTTGTTTATTCCTTATCCCAACTGATGAGAATATAAGTTCCTCAAGAGAAGGGCATCCATTTTTTTGCTGCATCAGCCAGAAGGCTGCCCAGTGTAGAGTTCAATAAATGCTTGTTTAATTAACAAATTATCCATGTAAACCCGCCAAGCTAAAATCTGAATGAAAAGAAAGGTTTAAGGGAACTTTTTGAGAATCGATCTTGGATAGAACTAAGGGAACCAGTGCATAAGAAGAGAGGGAGGTAAAATACCACTGTGTAATCTTTAGAGTTTCCTGACATCTTCATATATTATCCAGTTATAGGGATTTAGAGACTGTCTGTGCTTTAGATGTTGACCTACAACTTCTGTCTGTCAGGGCCATTACAATTTGAA